CTCACGCCGCTTAGTCGGCCGGTTGCGGTGTCCCTGGCTGACCCCTCTGCGGGTCCTGTCTTGTCTCGCTTCTCCACCGTCCTCCCGTGTCCGGCGGCTCCCTCTAGCACCCTGTCTGGTCTCTACCTCCCCTCATTCTCTACGAACTTGGTGAGTGGTGCTGACCTTAAGGATGCGGGAGTCCACCAGTTCACCCCTGCTCGTCAGCGGGTGACGCACTGCACAGAGGCTAGCACAGGCCGTCACCTGGCTACGTGTACACGTCAGCCAAGGTCGAGCCTGTACACACTGACCACTGCTTCTCCTCCAGTTCCTGAGTCTGGTAGGGTCTCTTCGTCAGGTCAGGTGTTTGCTGCAGCGTCCAGGTCTGGTCCTGAGTCTGCCCCCTGTTCGTGTCGTCGCCTGTCTCACGAGACTCTCCTCTGGCACCACCGCCAGGGTCACCCCTCTCTGCTTCGGCTCAGAGGCATGGCCTCCCGTCTTCTTGTGTCTGGTCTCCCCCGGTCCCTCCCTCCCCTTCCTCAGGGCCCTGGCCCTGCCTGTGTCCCCTGTGTCGAGGGGCGCCAGCGTGCTGCCCCTCACTCCTCCCAGTTTCCTCCGACAGAGGCTCCGTTGCAGACGCTTCACATGGACGTGTGGGGCCCTGCCCGCGTCCGTGGACTCGGTCACGAGCGCTACTTCCTGTTGGTGGTTGACGACTACTCGCGTTACACCACAGTCTTCCCCTTGCGCAGCAAGGGTGATGTCACTGAGGTGCTGATCGACTGGATCCGCGCAGCTCGTCTCCAGCTCAGGCAGAGCTTTGGCTCGGACTTTCCTGTGCTGCGTCTGCATTCGGACAGAGGCGGAGAGTTCTCCTCTGGCCTTCTCCATGCCTACTGTCGTGCGCGAGGTATCCGTCAGACCTTCACGCTTCCGGACTCACCGCAGCAAAATGGGATTGCAGAGCGCCGCATTGGCATGGTCATGGACGTTGCTCGTACGTCTATGATGCATGCGGCTGCCCCCCATTTTCTGTGGCCGTTTGAAGTCAGGTACGCGGCGCATCAGATACACCTCCACCCCAGGGTCTCCAGGCTGGAGACCTCCCCAGCTCTGCTATGGACGGGGAAGGTTGGCGATGCGTCGTCGTTCCGGGTCTGGGGATCTCGGGCGTTTGTCCGCGACTTGTCTGCAGACAAGCTGTCCCCTCGCGCTGCTCCCTGCGTCTTCCTGGGGTTCCCCCCCGATGCCCCTGGGTGGCAGTTCTACCACCCCACCTCTCGCCGTGTTCTGTCCTCCCAGGACGTCACGTTCGACGAGTCGGTACCCTACTACCGCCTCTTCCCCTACCGCACTCCGTCCCTCCCCCCACCCCCGCTCTTCTTGGTACCAGGTCCCCCCCCGGTCGACCCCCTCCCCCCTCAGGGTCCTGCCCCTTCAGGTGTGTCCCAGGTAGACGCGGTCGAGCCTATCGAGGTCACTGGTGACTCTGGTGCTGCTGTGGGTGCTGAGCCTAGGGGTGCTGTGACAGGGGGTGTTGTGCGTGGGGGTGCTGAGCCTGGGAGTGCGGAGCTTGGGGGTGCGGAGTCTGAGGGTGCTGAGCCTGGGGAGGCTGAGCCTGGGGGTGCTGGGCCTGGGGGTGCTGAGCCTGGGGGTGCTGAGCCTGGGGGTGCTGAGCCTGGGGATGCTGAGACTGGAGGTGCTGCGCCTGGGGGTGCTGAGCGTGGGAGTGCTGAGACTGGAGGTTCTTCGCCTGGAGGTTGTCCGGGTGCTTCGTCTCGCCGAGAGCCACTCTCCCCACAGGAGCTGCGTGAGTGGTTTGCCCGGCGCTGGAGGCGTGCTGCTGGTGCTGGAGGTTCTTCGGCTGCTGAGGGTGCTGCTTCCGCGCGTCACGGAGGTGCTCGTCCTGGGAGCACTGGAGCTGCTGGGCCTGCGGGTTCTCCTTGAGCTGGTGCTGCAGAGCGTGTTGGCGCTGAGACTACCGCTGGCGGTCCGACTGGCAGTGCTCCTGGTGCTGCTGGAGGTTCTGGGGCTGCTGGAGGTGCTGCTGGGGGTTCTGGAGCTACTGGAGGTACTGCTGGAGCGGGTACTCCTGCTGGGGGTACTGGTGCTGTCCCTGCTGTTTCTGGCGTCGCCACGCGACCCCGACCGTAATTCGTTCCACTCCTGCAGCAGGTTCTTGGTCTTACACCTTCTCCTGGTCCTCCTCCTCCTCCCTTAGAGGGTCCACAGCCTGTCTTGTCACAGTCACAGCTACAGCCTGCCGCCCCTTTGCCTGCTCCTTCTCCCTACACTGGTCCGACTGGAGGTCTTACTGAGCGTCGTGAGCCTGCGTCACGTCCTGCGTCGCCTGTTCGTACTGCGCGCACTAGTGGTCGCGGTTCGCGTCAGCGTCCTCCTCCTGTCCCTTGCACGCACCGGATGTCTCTGCGTCCGTCCACTGCTCCTCTGCGTGCCCCTTTGCCTTCTCCTCCTGCTTCCTCTCTTCCTGCTCTTGCCGACCCTGAGTCGGACTCTCTTCGTGCTGCCAGTCCTACTGTCACGCGTCTCCTTGCTACTGCCGTCACTGACCCTTCTTTCGAGTCTTGTGCTGCGTCCGCCCTTGTTACTGAGCTCGTCGACTTTGCTGCGCGCTGTCGTCTAGACTACGCTGCTAGTCTTGTCGCTGAGTCTGAGTCTGCCTGTCCTCCATCCGTCGGGGGTGAGTGTGCCCTTGGCACGGACGTCCTAGAGGACAAGCAGGAGGAGTTCCAGTGTCTGGCCGCCGCTTCACCTCATCTCGAGTCTGTACTGCTCACCCCTAAGGAGACCCTGATGCACTAGACATCCCGACTCCGCGCTCTTACGCGGAGGCGATAGAGGGTCCCTACTCCTCTCAGTGGCAGGCAGCTATGGATGCAGAGATGGCTTCCTGGAAGTCCACAGGCACCTACGTTGACGCTGTCCCCCCTTCTGGGGCGAACATCGTCAGTGGCATGTGGATTTTCAGGGTGAAGCGGCCGCCGGGTTCTCCGCCTGTCTTCAAGGCGCGTTACGTGGCCGTGGCTTCAGTCAGCGGCACGGAGTTGACTACTTTCAGACCTTCTCCCCCACCCCGAAGATGACCACTCTTTGGGTACTGCTGCACGTTGCTGCTCACCGCGACTACGAGCTGCACTCTCTCGACTTCAGCACTGCTTTCTTGCAGGGCAGCCTGCACGAGGAGATCTGGCTGCGTCGCCCACCTGGCTTCACTGGGTCTTTCCCTCCTGGTACCCAGTGGAGTCTCCGGCGTCCAGTCTACGGTCTCCGCCAAGCGCCGCGTGAGTGGCACGACACACTGAGGACTACGCTGGCGGCACTTGGGTTTGCTCCTTCCACTACTGACCCGTCGCTGTTTCTGCGCACCGACACCTCTCTGCCGCCGTTCTACATCCTCGTGTACGTCGACGACTTGGTCTTTGCCACAGCTGACATTGCTGGACTTGCCTACGTGAAGTCCGAGCTGCAGAAGAGACACACGTGCACTGACCTGGGTGAACTGCGCAGCTACCTTGGCTTGCAGATCACCCGGGACAGAGCACGCCGCACCATTACCCTGACTCAGTCACACATGGTGCAGCAGGTCCTTCAGCGCTTCGGCTTCACGTACTCCTCGCCTCAGGCCACTCCTTTGCCTACTCGCCACTCGCTCTCAGCTCTGCCTTCGGATGAGTCCGTAAAGTCGAGTGGCCCGTATGCAGAGCTTGTTGGCTGCCTCATGTACCTGATGACCTGCACACGACCTGACCTTGCATACCCTCTTAGCATTCTCGCACGCTATGTTGCTCCTGGGAGACACCGACCAGAGCACATGGCTGCAGCGAAGAGGGTGTTGCGCTACTTGTGCAGTACGTCGGGCATGGGGCTATTGCTTGGAGGGCGTAGTCCAGTGGTCCTCACTGGGCACGCGGACGCTTCTTGGGCTGACGACCAGGCTACGCAGCGGTCGTCACAGGGTTACACCTTCAGCCTTGGTTCCGGCTCTGTTTCGTGGCGGGCTACCCGCTCGTCTTCTGTTCTCGGCTCCAGTTGTGAGGCTGAGATCTACGCCGGGGCTATGGCGGCCCAGGAGCTTCGCTGGCTCACCTACCTGCTGACCGACCTTGGAGAGCCGCCTCGTTCTCCTCCAGTCCTGTACGTAGACAACAAGGCCATGCTGGCCTTGTGTCGAGAGCAGCGACTGGAGCACAGAACAAAGCACATTTCTCTCCGCTACTTTCTTGCTCGTGAGCTACAGCAGCGTGGACAGTTGCGACTTGTGTACGTGGCCTCTGAGGCCAACACTGCTGATGTCTTCACCAAGGCACTTGCGCCTTGTGATCATCAGCGCTGCTGCACGCAGCTGGGTCTTGTGCTTGTCTTGCCTCACTTGCTCACTTCTTGACCTTGCTTGTACCTTTACCTATATATACTCTTGCTCTTGCTTGCTTGACTCTTGTATATCTCTATATGTGATCTTGCATGTGAACTGGCCTTCTGGCCTTTGAACTTGTGCTCGGACTGTGTGGTGACTTTGTGATCCACCCTGAGCTTTGCTTTGCTTTGCCTGACTGGTCTTGTGACCCCTTGTTCTCCCCCACTTTGCCTATGGGGGTGTGTCAGAACAATATAGCTTACTTATTTGTGTAGACTATAGTGGGGTATCCCATAGGGGGTACAATCCCATTAGGGTTTCCTATTTGTACCCACTTCATTCATAGTCATTCCATTCTCGTTCTATTCTTCTCAGTATCTGCATTCTGTAATTCAGTATTCTCGGTATTCGTTATTCAGCGCACTCTGCAAGTTTATTCAAATCAGCTAACCCAAACATAGCTTAAGTACGCATGAAGAGATAGGTTTTGACTCGCCTAAGGCATAGTGGGGGATACCCAGACCTAAGCAATGGTCACAAGAACAGTGAAGAATTGCAACAATGCAAAGCTCAGGGTGCATCACAAAGTTACCACGTGGTCCGAGCATAAGCAAGTGGCCACAAATGCAGTTCACATGTAGTGTTATGGAAGTACAAGCACAGGTGAGAAGAGAGCGAGAGAAGCGGGGCGGTGGAGGGGGGAGGCGAGGGGGATGGAGAGGAGAGTGAGGGAGGAGAGGAAGGAGAGGCAGGGAGGGAAGGAGCGGTGAGCGAGGAGGGAGAGAGAGGTTAGGTTAGGAAGGGCGGCTAGGCACTGACAGTGGCACTGGTGCGGGTGTGTTGTGTAGAATCGTGGGGGGCGGAAGAGGATGTTGAGGCCCATGCAGTGGCACTCGCCTGCCACGTTGGTGGCCAGCTGCTGCAGGCGCGTGAGCGACCACAGCGAGGGAGGCAGCCACCCCACCACCTTGTCCTCCCCACCCCACCCATCCCCCACCACCCTCCTCCTCCCCGCCTCCTCCCTCCGCCCTCCCACCATGCCTTTTCCTCCTCTCCCTCTCCGTTGCTTTCGGCTTCGCACACACTACAAATGTCAAGGACGACAGGCTCGGTCCGATCCCATCAAACAGGTCCGGCGGAAGAGGCTCGGAAAGGCCGGTGGTGGGAGAGCCAAGGGAGAGGTGGAGGAGGGAGAGGCGGGAGAGTGAGTGGAAGGGGCATCGGAGAGGAGTGGATGGTGGGGAGCAGACAGGGAGAGGTGGAGGGAGTGGAGGGAGGAGAGGTGGGGCAGGAGGTAAGGCGGGAGGTCGGAGAGAGGCAGGGAGAGGTGGGCGGGACGGGAGAGCAAGACAGCTACTTCTTCACTCATTGTGAGGTAGTTGTTGATACAGAGGCTGAAGTGCAGTGAGCGTAGATGTGGACAACTCGATATGAGCTGCCTCATCTGCTCCGCCTGAGCGCGCGCCTTCCATCCCAATCCCTGGGCTTTGTCATTTCCTCGTGGATCGGGTGTGAAGTAAAGAAAACAGGAATGAAATGACTAAGGAAAGATTGGGTACAAATACAACCCTAGAAAACGTGTACCCCATATGTGCTACCCCACTATAGCCTACAGCAACTATGTCATATAAATCTGACACACCCCCATAGGCAAAGTGGGGGAGAACAAGGGGTCACAAGACCAGTCAAGCAAAGCAAAGCAAGCTCAGGGTGGATCACAAAGTCACCACACAGTCCGAGCACAAGAGTAGGGCCAGAGGCCAGTTCACATGCAGGAGTACAGACATATATATAAAACTAGACAAGCAAGAGCAGGCATATATATATGTCACAGTACAAGTGAAGTCAAGAGGAGAGCAAGTGAGGCAAGACAGGCACAAGACCCAGCTGGGTGCAAAAGCGCTGATGGTCACAAGGCGCGAGTGCCTTGGTGAACACATCAGCAGTGTTGGCCTCAGAGGCCACGTACGCAAGTCGCAACTGACCACGCTGCTGCAGCTCACGAGCAAGGAAGTAGCGGAGAGCAATGTGCTTTGTTCTGTGCTCCAAGCGCTGCTCTCGACACAAGGCCAGCATGGCCTTGTTGTCTACGTACAGCACTGGAGGAGAACGAGGCGGCTCTCCAAGGTCAGTCAGCAGGTAGGTGAGCCAGCGAAGCTCCTGTGCAGCCATGGCCCCGGCGTAGATCTCAGCCTCACAACTGGAGCCGAGAACCGAAGACGAGCGAGTAGACCGCCACGAGACAGAGCCGGAACCAAGGCTGAAGGTGTAACCCTGTGACGACCGCTGCGTAGCCTGGTCGTCAGCCCAAGAAGCGTCCGCGTGGCCGGTAAGGACCACTGGACTCCGCCCTCCAAGCACCAGCCCCATGCCCGACGTACTGCACAGGTAGCGCAATACCCTCTTCGCTGCAGCCATGTGCTCCGGTCTGTGTCTCCCAGGAGCAACATAGCGTGCAAGAATGCTCAGAGGGTATGCAAGGTCAGGTCGTGTGTAGGTCATCACGTACATGAGGCAGCCAACAAGCTCTGCATACGGACCACTCGACTCTACGGACTCATCCGAAGGCAGAGCTGAGAGTGAGTGGCGAGTAGGCAGAGGAGTGGCCTGAGGCGAGGAGTACGTGAAGCCGAAGCGCTGAAGGACCTGCTGCACCATGTGTGACTGAGTCAAGGTAATGGTGCGGCGTGCTCTGTCCCGAGTGATCTGCAAGCCAAGGTAGCTGCGCAGTTCACCCAGGTCTGTGCACGTGTGTCTCTTCAACAGCTCGGACTTCACGTAGGCGAGTCCAGCAGTGTCCGCTGTGGCAAAGACCAAGTCGTCGACGTACACGAGGATATAGAACGGCGGCAGGGAAGTGTCGGTGCGAAGAAACAGCGACGGGTCAGCAGTAGAAGGAGCAAACCCAAGAGCCGCAAGCGTAGTCCTCAGTGTGTCGTGCCACTCACGCGGTGCCTGGCGGAGACCGTAGACTGGCCGTCGGAGGCTCCACTGGGTGCCAGGAGGGAAAGTCCCAGTGAAGCCAGGTGGACGGCGAAGCCAGATCTCCTCGTGCGGGCTACCCTGCAAGAACGCATTGCTGAAGTCGAGAGAGTGAAGCTCGTAGTCGCGCTGAGCGGCTATGTGCAGCAACACCCGAAGAGTAGTCATCTTCGGGGTGGGAGAGAAGGTCTGAAAGTAGTCAACTCCCTGCCGCTGACTGAAGCCACGAGCAACGTACCGTGCCTTGAAGACAGGTGGAGAGCCCGGCGGCCGCTTCACCCTGAAGATCCACATGCCACTGACGATGTTCGCCCGAGGAGGGGGAACCGCGTCAACGTAGGTGCCTGTGGACTTCCAGGAAGCCATCTCTGCATCCATAGCTGCCTGCCACTGAGAGGAGTAGGGACCCTCTACGGCCTCCGCGTAAGAACGCGGAGTCGGGATGTCTAGTGCATCCGGGTCTCCCTCAGGGGCAAGCAGTACAGACGCGAGATGAGGTGAAGCAGCCGCTAGACACTATAACTCCTCCTGCCTGTCCTCTAGGACGTCCGTGCCAAGAGCACACTCACCCCCGACGGACGGAGGACAGACAGACGCAGACTCAGCAACAAGACTAGCAGCGTAGTCGAGACGACAGCGAGCAGCAAAGTCGACGAGCTCAGCGACTAGAGCAGACGCAGCAGTGGACTCAAAAGAGGGGTCAGTGACGACAGTAGCAAGCAGACGCGTGACAGTAGGACTGGCAGCACGAAGAGAGTCCGACTCAGGGTCGGCAAGCGCAGGAAGAGAGGACTCAGGAGGAGAAGGCAAAGGGGCACGCAGAGGAGCAGTGGACGGACGTAAAGACATCCGGTGCGTGCCAGGGACAGGAGGAGGACGCTGACGCGAACTGCGACCACTAGCGCGAGCAGCACGAACAGGCGACGCGGGACGAGACGCAGGCTCACGACGCTCAGCAAGACCTCCAGTAGGACCAGTGTAAGGAGAGGGAGCAGGCAGTGGAGAGGAAGGCTCCAGCAAGGACTGCGACTGGACAGGCGGTGGACCCTCTACTGGAGGAGAAAGACCAAGAACCTGCTGCAGGAGCGGAACGAAGTACGGCCGAGGCCGCGCGGCAGCTCCAGACTCAGCAGGGACAGCACCAGCACCCTCAGCGACAGCACTAGCGCCACCCACACCTCCAGCGGCAGGACCAACAGCAGTAGGCTCAGCACCAACGCCCTCAGCAGCTCCAGCTCCAGGAGGACCCGCAGGTCCAGCAGCTCCGGGACCGGCAGCACCCGCACCCTCGACGGTTGAAGAAGCTCCAGCCCCAGCTCCAGCAGCACCTCGAGACTCAGCAGCACGCCTCCAGCGGCGAGCGAACCACTCGCGCAGCTCCAGTGGAGAGAGGGGCTCCCGGCGAGACGCAGCAGCAGGAGAAACCCCAGGCTCAGCAGCTCCAGACGCAGCACCCCCAGGCGCAGCAGCTCCCAGCTCTGCACCCCCAGGCTCAGCAGCTCCCGACCCAGCACCCCCAGACCCAGCACCTCCAGGCACAGCACCCCCCGGCTCAGCACCCCCAGGCTCCGCACCCTCCACAGTAGCACCCTCAGGCCCAGCACCCCCAGCAGTAGCACCCCCAGGCTCAGCACCCCTGCGCACAGCACCCCCAGAGTCAGCACCCCCAGGCTCAGCACCCGCAGCAGCACCAGAGTCACCAGTAACCTCGACCGGGTCAACGGCGTCTACCTGGGACACACCTGAGGGGGCAGGAACCTGAGGGGGGAGGGGGTCTACCGGGGGGGGAACCGGCACAAGGAAGTCCGGGGGAGGGGGGAGGGAAGGAGTGCGGTAGGGGAAGAGGCGGTAGAAGGGGACTGACTCGTCGAACGTGACGTCCTGGGAGGACAGAACACGACGAGAGGAGGGGTGGTAAAACTGCCACCCTAGGGCGTCAGTGGGGAAGCCAAGGAAGACACAGGGAGCAGCGCGAGGGGACAGCTTGTCCGCAGACAAGTCGCGGACAAACGCCCGAGATCCCCAGACACGGGACACAGACGCATCGCCAACCTTCCCCGTCCACAGCAAGGCTGGGGACATCGCAGGCCGAGAGACCCGGGGGTGAAGGTTGAGCTGATGCGCCGCGTACCTCACCGCAAACGGCCACAGAAAATGGGGGGCAGCCGCATGCATCATGGACGTACGAGCGACATCCATGACCATGCCAATGCGGCGCTCAGCAATCCCATTTTGCTGTGGTGAGTCCGGAAGCGTGAAGGTCTGGCGGATCCCCCGTGCACGACAGTAGTCTCGCAGAAGGCGAGAAGAGAACTCTCCGCCTCAGTCAGAGTGCCGACGCAGAACAGGAAAGTCCGAGCCGAAGCTCTTCCTGAGCTGGAGACGAGCCTCGCGGATCCAGTCGATCAGCACCTCAGTGACCGCACCCTTGCTGCGCAAGGGGAGGACTGTGGTGTAACGCGAGTAGTCGTCAACCACCAACAGGAAGTAGCGCTCGTAACCCTGCCCACGGACGGGGGCTGGGCCCCACACATCCATGTGAAGCGTCTGCAGGGGAGCCTCTGTCGAGGGGAAGTGGGAGGAGTGAGGAGTAGCCCGGAGGCGACCCTCGACACAGGGGACACAGGAAGGTCCTGGCCCGGAGGGGAGAGGAGGGAGAGACTGGGGAAGACCAGAGACAAGGACACGGGAAGCCATGCTCTGAAGACGGGGCAAGGAGGGGTGGCCAAGACGGTGGTGCCACAGGAGAGTCTCGTGAGACAGGAGGCGACAAGAACAGGGGGCAGACTCAGGACCTGACCGGGACGCAGCAGCAAGTACCTGACCCGACGCAGCCACCCGACCAGACGCAGGGTTAGGAGGAGAATCAACGGTCAGGGTGTAGAGACTCGACCCCGGCCGACGCGAGAACGTGGCCAGGTGTCGGCCTGTGCGTGCCTCCGTGCAGTGGGTCACCCGCTGACTCGCAGGAGTGAACTGGTGAACACCCCCATCCTGCAGGTCTGCTCCACTCACCAAGTTCGTAGAGAACGAGGGAAGGTACAGACCCGACAGGGT